AATATAACAGTTGAGCGACCGTGCTAGAACCACGGAACTCGGGAATGCCTAACACCTTCTCCCGGGTTAACAGAATTCCTTATCTAGATTTCTGGTACGCAGACTGTAATATAGAGTCATTATTTTCCTCGATTCGGGATTAAAATTGGTGACTTGGGACACCCTAAATCTCCCAAGTGGCGACTCTGAAATAATTAAACCAATCCCGTTTCGGTTGTCCTTTAATTGGAAAAAACTCCCCCTGCGCCCCCGCGGGCGCGGAAAAAGGAGGTGTGACACTAACATTGAAACTGTAATCACCAATCTTTCCCTTTGTATTAACATTGTTGTCCTGCGTATCTCGCTCTTTTCCAAACTTGGATGATGAACCCGCATCTCTGTCCCTGATCTAGAACTGTACCTCAGGTTTTCATGTTTAGAATGTGAATCCCGTCCTCAGGTCCCATGTAAGGTCCGTACCTATTTTTACCAGACCTTTTTTTAGTTTTTGGTCATCTCGAACTTGTTCTTTCATCTCCCTGTGACTGAGTGATAGTATCTTCCTCTATCCGCACCTTCGTGCTATACCCGTTGTAAACATCGTTCCAAGCTGTAGCAGGTAATTCTTGTAAGTTTTCCTTGAGCCTCCTCATGGACTCTAAGCTTTTTTCATTTAAATTACTTGCAAATGCCATGACCGCCCAATTATCTGGTACACGCGGTAACATCATCATTTCGCGTTAAAATCTATCCACAAATTCCTTGAGTAGCTCCGTATCTTCTTATTTTATTTTGAAGATGACTTCTATCCTCTTTACAACTTTTTGAGCTCCCGAGTGTGCTTTTATAAATAAGTCTTCAAGATCAGCAAAAGACTTAATAGAATTTTCCAATAAAAGAGAATACCATGTTAGTGCTCCTTTTGTGAGTGTTTCTCCAATATTTTTTGACCAGCACCGACTGAATTTCTTGCTTGGTTAAATTGTTACCTTTTATGCTAGTTGTAAATAGCTGTTACATGATCTCGTGGGTCGGTTGTTCCATCATTCTTTAGAATATCAGGAATCTTAAACATTTTTGGAATCAGCAAGGGAGCGACACTTGGCTTCTAGGGCTGTTGAGAATACTTAGCAATATCCATTCCTTTAATCATAGGTGGCACACCAGGTATCTGTTTTATGCAATCATTCTGCTCATGAGATGCTTCTACAAAGTTAATACTAAACTTTGTAAATCAAAATTACTTGGGGTACCTGACCTTCCATCGTGAGATTCGCTGGGAGTTCCTCCGATGCCTGAATTAGCAAGCCTTGAGCGTGGATTCTCTATGGTTGCAGTGTTGTTTGGAGGTGGAGTTAGTGGTGCAGTTGGTAATCCACTAACGAAATTTTGAAGGGCATTGTTGACATGTTCTGCAATTAGCTGTTTTAATGCATCTTCAGCAGTCTGATCGTCCCCTTGTTGATTATTCTTATGTGATGTTGATCTTTGAGGTGACCCCTCTCGGGAGTGTTGGGGAGAATTTTGTGGTGAAGAGATTGGAGTTTCATTTTCTTTTTGATTCTGTTGGTTCTGTTGGTTTTATTGGTTGTTGTCATTGGCAGTCGACATGGTTGTTTGACAGAAAAATAAATTTGGAAAGTAAAACGATTATCAGATTCTCGGTAACAGAACCAATTTGTTTAAACAAAAAATGTATATTTCGGTCATAGCCTATTATTAGAAGATCTCGGGTTACTTATAACCAAGAAATTTCGTACTTTCCCAATTATATGAAAGGAAAAGAACAAAGGTAAGTAAGCAAATAACTGATTGCAAAGTCTAAGAAAAGAAGAAAAGTAAAGTGAATATATTCCAATATTTTCTTAGATGCCTTTATAAGTGAAATTCTCTTCCCTTATATAGGAATTTACAAATGTAACGTTTCCTCTCTTTTATGGCCCAATCATTATGAACATTAATGACATTAATGAACCGTTATGATTAGCAATAGTAACTGTTTATGGAGATTCTGTAACGGTTCCAATTCTTCTTCCTCATTAATTAGAGGTTCGTGAATATTCCCTACAAAAAAACAGCAATTAGCGACGGATTTTAGCGACAAATTGTGTTCCGTCGCTGATTAGCGACGGATTGGCTACGGAATAATAATTTCGTTGCAAAAAAAGCCAAAAAATAATTTGTATCTAATATAGCGACGGAATAACGACGAAATCGAAAATTAGTCGCTAATTCTTGGCGCTAAATATTGGCGCCCTCAATTTACCTACGAATTTAGCGACAAAAGGTAAGCGACAAAATTTATTTTATGACAGCGATGGATTTAGCAACGGAAAATTTATCGCTAGACTTAATATCTTTATCAAAATATTATAAAACTCTTTGCTACGGAAATTTCCATCGTTAATATATTTTTTAATGAAAAATAATGTTATTTTATAGCGACGGAACTTTATCCGTAGCTAATCCGTCGCTGAAGACACATGAGAGCGCAAAATCAAGCAGCTGGGAGCAAAATTAGTAGAAGACACACGATAAGGGTTTTCAAGAACAAGAGCAAAAATCAGTAGCCAAAGTGAATCTAAGGTTTGTAGATGGCTTTGTTTCTTCTTCCGAGCCAAAGTGAATCTAAGGTTTGTAGATGGCTTTGTTTCTTCTTCTGTTTCTTATGCTTAGTACTAATTTTGGGTACCAAAAAGATAAGCCACCGATTTGTATATTATCAAGTATGATTTTCTATTGGGGTATTTAAAATTTGATTTTCTTTAAATTTTTGGAACAACACTTGAGACAGTTCTTGGTTTTGTATTTGTGTGTTCAAAAATTGATTTTTTGAAGTTGTTTTTGTAATAAAATTTCTGGATTTTCTGTATGGGATGTAAAAAGGGTTGTAGCAATTAGTGTCAAGAGTTGAGGGTTTGCAAATGCTTGTAGTCCAAATAAACTTGAAAGGTTAAATTGTGTAGAGTTGAGGAGGGATGATAAGTCTAATAAATCAAGACGAGGGCTATGAGTTACCGGATCAAGTCCCATTCTTAGAAGCCTTTTTCTTATGTGAGTGTTCCAATAATATATGAAACTAATAGATTTCTCTGTGTGTATGTGTTTCTATATGTGTATGTGTCTCTCCAATTTGTAGCAAATGTGTATGTGTTTCTCTGTGAGTATGTTTTTCTCCAAATATTTATTCATTATATTTTTTTTAAATTTATTTTTCTTTTGCTCACTATTTCTCTGCCAGTGAGGTTGTAAGGGCAGATACTACTGTAATGGATTTTTATAGAACTAATCTTGAACTTAAAAAATGAACAAAACAAGCTAAACAGAACTAGCTAGACCATGTTTCTATACTTGGGTGCTCTCTATTTGCTGGAAAGTGTTGAATTAACATTTTTGGGGGGTTAAAGATTTGTAATTTTTTGGAGCACTACTGTGAGTACTAAAAGTACTAAAATTAACGATGATGATGCTTTGGGTTCAAGCTGGATTGAACACCTAGTTGATGTCAATCTTCTAGATCCAGAACCTAAGGTTTGTTCTTTAAACTTTAGTGCTAATGTCCCGCATCTGACGCGCTTCTATGCTGACTAGAGGTTATGGTCTTCAAATTTATTTTCCCAAGTGGAAAATTTATGGCATCTTTCCTTGATAATATTCAAAACTTGCCCCCTAGCTAATGGAAAGAACAATTTATTATTCTATCAGTTATAGTTTATGTCTCTTTGTCTCTTTCTTCTTTCTCTTGCTACTAGATTTTCACAAGAATTTAAATCAAAAAGATGTGGTTCTAAAAAATGTATACTATAATTTATCGTTTATTAACATAATCGTCAAAGTTTCTTAATTTTTTTTTCCGACATGTACAGTTTCGTAATGGGATTTGAATTATCCGGAATATTACTGGGGCAATTTCTAGTACATGAAATGGAGTATCATTTTACAATGTTAGAAATATAATATAGAAACTCCTAGTTTATATGAGCTCTCATGGGCTACATGCTGTCAGATGTTGGACTTATTCTTGAGAAATGCTAATTTAGCTTACACTTGAACTGACAGCAATGAATGTATATTTAGTTCACTTCTTGCTCCATCTTAATATTTTTTGCCATAACCCTTTCTTAGTCTCTTTATTTGTGCTTCTGTTCCATTTTATTACTTTGTTCCTCTATTATGTCGAGCTGTGTAGGATCTGCTTGTTGACACCCGATTTCTTTTCTTATTATCTTACTCGTAGAAAAAAAGAAGTTTGATTATCCTGTTTTGTTTCTATATTAAATAGGAACATGGATCATTTAGAGCGTGCTTGGATGTACGAGAGGTTGGATGGACGAGGGGTATAAATTCTAATTTTGTAACTGGCGTGGATAGCTTTCTCCTGTTTGCACGTTCTCAGCGAAATCGCATAAGTGGTGAGAATGTTCGATGTCCATGTAAAAAATGTTGCAACATTATATACATGGATGTTGAAACTGTTAGATTGCACCTTTTTAAATTTGGATTTGTTGAAAACTATTCTGTTTGGAAGTATCAAGGGGAAAAAGATGTGACTGGTGTGACGTCTTCTAGCAGTGATCTACATGGTGGTGTTCAACCTGCATTAGGATATGACAATCCATACCGACAAATGGTTTTAGATGCAGCTGGACCCAACTTTGGTCAGGGTTCTAGTTGGCAATCTTATAGTGATACTGAATTTGAGTCATCTCATCATTTTGAGCCTTCAATGGAGGACGAGGCTAATCCTTCAATGGAAGAGGAGCCTAATCCTGAGTCTCAAAGGTTTTACGATTTGCTAAAGGCCGCTGGTATAGAATTGTATCCTGGTTCTTCCCTCTCTCAACTCGCAGTAGTTTCTAGGATGTTAAACATTAAAATGGAGAACACTTTATCACAGAGGGGATATGACCAAATGATGCCATTGATGAAAGAGGCTTTACCTGAAGATAACATAATGCTTGAAAGTTATTATCAAACCAAGAAGCTAGTGCGTAGCTTGGGTTTGCCGGTTGAAAAGATTGATTGTTATAATTCAGGATGTATGTTGTATTGGGGTGACGACGAAGACCTCACATCTTGCAAGTTTTGTGGCTACGAGAGGTTTAAACGTCGTGTTGGTTCTTGTAAGAGGAAATTAGTCCCTTATAAAAGGATGATAATTTTCCTTTGATTCCTAGATTACGAAGATTATATGCATCTCATGCTACAGCCGGTGACATGAGATGGCATCATGAGCATATACAGGAGGAGGGGGTAATGCGTCATCCATCAGACTCTGAGGCTTGGAAGCACTTTAATGAAACTCATTCATTTTTTGTTGCTGAACCAAGGAATGTGAGGCTGGGATTATGTACTGATGGTTTCCAACCATTTGGTCAATCAGGAAGAAAATACTCTTCGTGGCCAGTGATTATCACTCCATACAACTTACCTCCTTGGATGTGTATGAAAGAGGCGTACATGTTCTTAACTGTCATTGTTCCAGGGCCAACCAATCCTAAATAAAAAATAGATGTTTTTCTACAACCTCTAATAAAAGAATTGACCTTGTTATGGGAAGAAGGTGTGGAAGCATTTGACATCTCAAAAAAGCAAAATTTTCAATTAAGGGCGGCTTTGATGTGGACAATAAGTGACTTTCCAGCTTATTCTATGTTATCAGGATGGAGTACTGCTGGCAAGTTAGCATGTCCTTATTGTATGAAGGAAGCACAATCTTTTAGATTACGTCATGGTGGGAAAATAACTTGGTTTGATAGTCATAGAATGTTTCTTGACCAACATCATCCATTTAGGAAAGATCGTAAAAACTTTCTTAAAGGTCAGACTGTAAAAAGGCTACCACCAGCACTTAGAACGGGAGAGGAAATTTTGAACTAAATTAGTGAGTTAGGGCTAAGAAAAGTAACAGAGGAAGATGCACAAGTAGTTAATTCGAGACTGTAAATCTTGTGGATGGAAAAAGCGAATCATCTTTTGGGATTTGCCTTATTGGAGTTCTAACATGATTCGGCATAATCTTGACGTCATGCATATTGAAAAGAATGTCTTTGATAATGTATTTAACACAGTTCTTAATGTTAAAGACAAAACCAAAGACAATCCCAAAGCACGTTTGGATATGCTAACCTATTGCGATAGACCTCAGTTGGCAAAGGATGCTAGTGGAAAATATCCCAAAGCTGCATATACAATAGACAATGAAGCAAAAGATATCTTATTTAATTGGGTGAAAGGTTTGAAGTTTCCAGATGGGTATGTTTCAAATTTGGGTCGATGTCTAGAGACGAACTAGTCTAGGTTATTTGGCATGAAAAATCATGATTGCCACGTGTTCATGCAACGATTAATGCCTATTGCCTTTCGTGAACTACTTCCTAGTAATGTGTGGCAGACACTTACAGAATTGAGCCTATTTTTTAAAGATCTTACTTCGACCACTCTACGAGTGGTTGACATGGAGAGATTAGCAATAGACATCCCACAGATCTTGTGTAAGTTGGAACGTATATTTCCACCGGGGTTCTTTAACTCAATGGAACAGTTGCCCGTGCACCTGCCATATGAAGCAAGAATTGCTGGACCTGTACAATATCGATGGATGTATCCTTTTGAGAGGTAAATTTAAAACTTCTATGTCATAATAGTGACAAATATGCTACACATGACTTTTTAATTTAACGGCTATTCATTTATCTATTTAGGTACCTTGGAAGTTTGAAAAAAATGATTGGGAATAAAGCTAGTGTTGAGGGATCTATTTGTGAAGCATACTTGATGACAGAGTCAACACAATTATTTTCTCATTATTTTGAGCCCCATGTCATTACACGTAATCATAATGTGGACCGGAATGATGATGGTGGTGTTGTGGAAGATCATAAAGGAAATTTATCAATATTTACACATCCAGGTCGACTATCGGGAGAAACAAAAAAGAGGAGTTTAGCCTTGGAAGAAATCAAGGCTGCCCAAACTTACATTCTACTAAATTGTAAAGAGGTTGAGCCATTTGTAAGGTAACATTTGAAAGTTATACTTGCTTAATATAACAAATATTCATATAGCAAAAGCACTAATTTTAACTTATTTTGTTGCAATGAAGTATGTACGTGGAACGTTTACAAGAAGAATATCCAAATCTATCTCAGGATCAAATAGATGAGAATCTCGAAACATATTTCTCTATATGGTTCAAGAAATATGTAAACCTCAAACAATAATTTACTTTTATACAATAATGTACATAAATTGACTTGTTAAATTTAACTAAGTCTCACAATTTTTTAAATAGGTCCGAAGCAACCATATTGAGAATGCATTCTTGCGTAGCCTTGCTCATGGACCATTGATAAGCGCGATATGTCATTCAATGTATTTTGTCAATGGATATAAATTTCACATAGAAAGTCATTGTAGCGCAAGATCAACAATGAACAGTGGAGTTTGTATATCGGATCCAAATGTTGGTGACTACTATGGTCGGATACAAGAGATTATACAAGTAGAATACCGTGAAGAACCTTTAAAGAATATTGTATTATTCAAGTGTGAATGGTTTGACCCAACGATGAATGTTGGTGTTAAAAAGCATAATCAATACAAATTGGTGGATATTAACCATCGCCGTCGATATAAAAAATATGAACCTTTTATTCTTGCGATGCAACTCAAGTGTGTTATGTTCCTTATCCTAGCAAGAGAAAGGACAAGGAGGATTGGTTAGCTGTATTGAAAGTTAAACCTCGGCATGTTGTTCAATTACCCGATGAGGAAGTGATGGCAATTTCATATGCGAATCTCCCCTTCAAAGTTGAAGAAGTTGAAGATTATGTGATAGATATGAACATTGTCGTTGATGAAAATATACTCTTACATGATCCAAATGGGGGTTTAATTGAAATGGATGAGGATGTTGATGATGAATTATTGCTAGATCATCATGAAATTGAAGAAGAAGAAGGAAGAGTATGAAATGGAAGATACAGAGGATGATGAGGAAGATTTTGTAGAAGAAATAGATAGTGACTAGTGTGTTAATTAAAAATATGTTGATGTATCTTACTATGTTTTGTTTGTTGTAATCTAAGTTGAATGCTATCTGCAAGAATATATCTATATTTATTGCTTTTCTTTGATGTCTAACTTCTCACTCATTTCCCTAAATTTATCACTTAATATAAAATTAAAAAATCTAGCAGTAATTTTGGCCCAATTCTTGACTTATACCAATGTTTTCTGTTTGCAGGGACTTAATTCTTGACTTATACCAATTTATGACTCTAATTTGCTTACATGTAATTTTTTTGTAGATATGACTCGAGGGAGAGGCAGAGATAGCATAACTCGTGGAGACAAGTCTTCAGTTAGGGGTAGGGGTAATTCTACTATTCGTGCAAATATGCCTTCTGTTCCCATTCCCATAATCAGTCTTCAACAAGGTGGTACAAGTTCTTTAGTTGGGCAGAATCACATAAATCAAGTACAAACTTTAGCTCCTAGCAGTATGACACCCGTTCAAACATCAGGGCATGGTAGTACCCCAACTATCCATTCTGAATCATCTCCTAATACACCTGATCAGAGTAACCCAATAGGTGAGGGCATATCTACTCAAAGCAACACAATTGGCGAAGGTGAGTGTGCCAGTAGTCACGGGCAGCGGACACTTGTTACTCTTGCTCCTACAGGGTTAGTCCATATTTTTACTATTATTTTTTATATAGAAATTTTGATTTATGATACCCCTTCAACTATTGTCTTCAAATTTTTTCAGGTTAGAACCTAGTGGATTATGCTCGACGAAAATATTTAAATCTTTCAAGCATGAACTTGATCACAATGGAATCAATTGGAAAAGTGTCTCTGACGAGATACAAAACTTTTATTGGGGAGAATTCAAGGTATAACTTCTCATTATATAATGAATTTAGGAAGTGTATTAACTCTTATAAATAAGATATTAATGTTATTACTTTATAAAATTATTTCAGAAGAAATTCTATTGGTACTCTTCCATTGATAGTGCAGTGAGGAGCCAATGGGAGAATAAGGCATCAATAAGGTACAAAGATATCATTTCCAAAATGAAAACTAAAAAAATTAGGCCAAGAGGTGTTCCAGTAGAAGTGTGGGAAAGTTGGGAACAACTTTGGAAAGATCCCAAGTGTGTTGAAAAGTTAGAAATAAATGCAAATAATCGTCGTGGCGGTAGGGGTGGAGTCTCCACCGGGACTCACACAGGCGGCTCTGTCTCCATTGGGGAGTATTGCAAGAGACTTGTAAGTATATCGCAACCTTAACTTTATTGCAACTTTGAACTTAAAATTTCTTCTTGTTGGTGTTAAGAATTGCTTATAGTAACCTTAGCTTTCATTAGGGGTTATGCTTATAGTTTTAATCCAAGTAAAGCAGTGAGTTCTTATGTTAAAATGTTGCATTATGGTTTTGTTCATAATAATTATACATTTTCTTTTGTGATTAAAGCTTTGTCTAGTACTAAAGAGTACTTTTTTGGTGAAGCCTTGCATTGTTCAGTAATGAAATTTGGACATATGTTACACCTTCATATAGTAAATTCATTTTTACATATGTATGCTAGTTTTGGTTTGTCTAATGAGATCATGATTCTGTTTGATAAAATTCCTTAACCAAATATTGTTTCTTGGAATGTGATCATTGATGATCTTGGTCAAAATGGTTGTGTTTATGAGGTTCTTGGTGTAATCAATGAGATGTGTCGATACGGGGTTGAGCCTAACTCGGTTACATTTCCTGGATTTGTCTCATCGTGCTTGAAAACGGGTGATTTTGGTATAGGAAAGTTGATTCATTTGTATGTAATAAAGAAAGGGATATGCATTAGTGAGAATCTTGGAAATGGTTTGATTGATATGTATGCTAAGTTTGGAGATATGAAATCAACTAACAAACTGTTCAATAGGATAGAAATGAAGACAGTGGTAACATGGACTTCACTTCTTGTTGGTTTTATACAAAAAAGTGAACTAGAAAAAGCTAGTGTAATTTTTAATCATATGCCTGAGGATATTACTGGTTATAATGTTTTCCTTAATGGATATGCTGAGGCTCGTGATATGAGTTCAGCTGAAATGATCTTTAAAGCAATGCCAAACAAAGATTTAGTTTCTTGGAACACTATGATTATTGGCTATACTCATAAGTAATTATCTGTATTGTTTGGACATTGTTCAAGTTCTTGATAAGTGCCTTCCAATACTTATCTTTTTATGAGAAGATTGTTAGTTTAATGTAGCAGAGCAGTGTTAGTGATTTCTATGCATTTTTCTAAAAAAAACCTGTATGTTCGTCATTATCCCTTTACTGTGCGGGTGAAATAACTCAAATGCTGTTCTAAAGCTTTTAATTTGTTGTTATGCATTCTCTTTAATGATCTCAATCAGATATTCATAGTAGTCCGGAGTAAGCAATAAAAATAGGTGTTGTAAATAATATTTTCTTACAGCATTGAGGTATAAAATTTAAACTCTTTTCTGGTTACAGCAAACTCTAATATTCCCATATATAGTGTTTGCACAAGTTGCCATTTCTGCTGATACAATATAATAGCGCAGGCAAAATGAAGATATAGTTATTTTGTTATACAAGAAGAATTGATGACAAAGAAATAAATTTAGAAGTTGCGGTCAGTGAGTTCTCCATTTGAAGTATATCTGCGGTGTTGAATCATTTGAAGTATTGTCTCGGGTGTCTGCTTTTGGTGTCAAATTGTCATTCTTTAGTATAGGCGATTGAATCTGTATATTCAGCAATCTACAATGTACCTCTTGCACGATCAGTCTGGTATATCTTCAATACCCTTTAAGTCTGCTAAAATACTCTACAGTTCTTTTCCTGCCGTATGTGGTAGATAGTTCTAGCAAGTATCAACCTGTGTATGAGGATTGAAAGCGCCTTTCATTTGCATGTGATATGGTCCATTCAATTTCATCTCTATATCCTTTTACAGTTCTATTGATGCTCTGCCATACCAACAGCTTCCTTTATATGTTTGTTGAATAGTAGCATTAAAAGAACATAAGTTATGGTCTTCCCTTACGTCTTCACATAGTGGGCATATTATACTACGTTGCTGCCCCATTTACTTAGCATGTCTCTGTTGTAAAAGTCTTTTCTAGATAACTAAATACATTATGAATATCCATTTGGGACTACTTTGATTATTGCATAACAGTATCTTCCAGGTTGCCTTTGGGAACTCTCCTTTTAGCTTATCGTACATGCCTCAAATTCAATAGTTTTCTGTATTCAAAACCTATTCAGGAGATTGAAGAACCTTACTTTACTCAATTTGTCTTTGTACAGTGACGTGTATTTTTCATAGTTGGAATTAACAGTGACGTGTGACAAAACTTCTGGTTCTACTATAGTAATATTTTCATCCTTTTAAAAATAATTTTTTTTGTATAGGCCGTTGAAAAGGGTCGAGACCCAACACCAAGTGAATTACATTTGTACGTCCATACACATGGGCATGATGGAAAATCTTTTCTTGATGAGAAAGCTCGAATCGTTCATGTAAGTCCAATATTTTATAAACTTATTTACTACAATGTAAAAAGAGTATGAAAAGTATCCTCTCTTTTGGTTAATTAAATGCTCAACATTCTTAACCGTTTTAATTTCACTACATATTACACCTCTTTTACAAGAAAGGTATCAAGAAATATTACAGGAACAAACAAAAACTCAATCTGATATTGATCAATGGAAAGCGTATTATGAAGCCGCGGGAGGGGAAAAGAAGAGAAGAGTATATGGTCTTAGATCTCAAGCAAAATGCTACTATGGACCGAATCTTCGTGGCTCTTCTGGATCAGATGCTTCATCGTCAATACCACCTTCGAGTGCTCAATCAACATTGAACCTAGATGAGTTAGTGATGCATTTGATTCCTACACTAACAGAGCACATAGTTCCTGTGCTAACTGATCATATGCATCCAGTATTGACTGAGTGGGTGCGTGAAATGATTTCGTCACCCTCACTGACTTCTACTGACCGCCCATCAGATGTGGTACCAACAGTTCATGCTCCTCCTACTGCTACTGTTCATGGGGTTCATCCATCGGTTTCAGATGATGACCTTAACCCCTAAGCCTCGTATTTGGAAGCTTTTTGTTTTGAACTTTATTATTGGTGTTAGGGATAATTCGCACCTTCTTGGTTTGGAAGCTTTTTGTTTTGAACTTTATTGTTGGTTTTAGGGATATTGCGACGGATATTTTTTGTAACAAAAATAAATATATAAAATAACACTGTGACAGATTGCAACAGACGATTTTGGTCGCCAAATGAAAAGCTGAAATGAGTCTCAAAATATTGGCGACGGATTAGCGACCGACTTTCTATCGCAAAAGTATGCCAGCGACGAAATGCATTGTGAATTTAGCAACACAATTTTTTAATAAGGCGACAGAAATTCTGTCGCAAATTGTAGCAACGGATAGTGTTTGACGCTAGAACGTCGCTAATATTGCGACGGATTCCATTTTTCCGTCGCAAATAGCTTAGCAACGAGCAAATCAGCAACAAATGCTAATCCGTCGCTAACCCTGCTTAGCGACGGAAAAAGGCTATTTAGCGACGGATTTGGGTCGTCGTTAAATGCTGTTTTTTGTAGTGATTCCTCTTCTTACTGTCTTGATTCATTCAGCCTGTATCTACTGAATGATTTAGACTCGAGCAACTACATCCCTTCATCTCGTGAGTTATTTGCTCGTACCTCTTGTAACTCGTGCATCTTTTAATGTAATATTCCAGTTGTCATCTTCTTAGTGATCCACATAATATGCCTTGTCAGCCACACATAATTTCACGTGTCATATTTAATTTTTACTTATACAGAGACATAGTCAAATAAATTTTAGTTAAGCAATCTTGCAGCTTTGCTCTTCAAAATGTAAACTCTGCTTTGTTCTTGTAACGACCCGACCGGTCCTTTTGAGCTTTTGCACTTTGATCGCCAGTTCTCGGGCATGACTTGCCTCGTGTGGTGTATTATGACTTATGTAAATCGTTGGTGTTGGGTTTCAGGTTAATCAGAATGAATTTAGATGAACAGTTCTCAGTTGAAGCTTGAAATTTGAAAGGTTTAACCAAGATTTGACTTGTTTGTATTTGATCTCGGATTTGAATTTTAATGGTTTGGTTAGCTCCGTTAGGTGATTTAGAACTTAGCAACATGATCGGAATGCATTTTGGATGGCAGTGGAAGGTTTAGGCTTGAATTGACGAAATTGAGATTTCGACGTTTTCCGGTTGATAGGCGATATTTTGATATAGGGGTCGGAATGGAATTCCTGAAGTTGCAGTAGCTTCATTATGTCATTTGGGATGTGTGTGCAATAGTTCAGGTCATTCGGACGAGGTTTGTTAGACTGTTTGATCGAATTTGGAATATGGAAATTTTGGAATTCTTAGGCTTGAATCCGAGGGTGATTCGATGTTTTAATGTTGTTTTCAGAGTTCCGAAGGCTGGAACAAGTTTGAATGATGTCATGGGGTGTGTTAGCATGTTTGGTTGGGGTCCCATGAGGCTCAGATAAGTTTTGGAAGAGTTTTTGGAAGATTTTGCCGTTTTGAGCATAAACATGTAATGATCCAAAGGTCCATTTTTAGTTCTAGAGATCGAAATTTGATTTCGAGACTTCCGGAATTTTGATAATGAAGTATAGGACTGATCTGGAAAGTTTGGTCTAATTTCATCAAGTCGCGATTGAGTTTTTGACACGAAACACAAGTTAATTATTTAACGAGAAAAATGGGTATTGAGCTGAGAAAATGAGCTCCGAATTGAGTTTAGACTGAAAGACTATGTTTGTATTATTGTCTGTGACTCATAGGAATAAGAATCATCGAATTCCGAGTTCGTATGATGGAGTTAGAGCCTTTTTAGTGAAAGAAAAGCTGCTGCAATTTTCTGGGCAATTTCTGCATTTTTCGCACGTGTGAACAGTGACCGCACCTGCGTGAATAGTACCCGTGTACAAAACATGTGAACAGTACATGAATAGTACACGTGAACAGTAAAAACGTATGAATAGTACCCCCGAAATTCCGGACAGTTTTAAGTCCAGCAGTCCGAGTTTTCTCATTTTATTTGACTTCCAAGCTCGGGTTTTGGGTGATTTTGAGCGAACAATCACGGTAATTCTTGAGGTATATCCCTTATGATCATTGTTAGTCAATATTATTGAATTATCATTGAATATTCCGGCTAGATTACGTGTTTTGAGGTGTAAATCGGGAATTTGGACCTAGGGATTTGAAAATAACAATTGATGGTTTGAAGGCCGAATTGTTGTCGGATTTTGGAAAAATTTGTATGGTTGGACTCATGGTTAGATGAGGTTTCATATTTCGTAACATTTGTCGGGTTCCAAGATCTGGGCCCCACGGGCGAATTTTGAGTGCAATTTCGGATTTTTAATGAAAAATATAGAATTTCATATGGAATTAATTCCTATAATTTTTATTAACCGAATCGAATTATTGTGGCTAGATTCGAGGCATTCGGTGGTCGATTTGAGAGACAAAGGCATCGCGAGCTAGAGGATTAGCCGGTTCGAGGTGAGTAATGATTGTAAATGATGCCATGAGGGTTTGAAACCCCGGATTTACACATCGTAGTGCTATATTGAGGTGAGACACATGCTGGATGATGAGCGCGAGGTCTTTTACTACTGGGGATTGTGACTTGGTCCATCCCGATTGATGATTTTATGCATATTTGATTGAAACTTATTTGTTATCATGATGATTTGGACTGATTGCCATACTTGGGCTTCGTGCCAATTATTTGAATCCTTCAGAATTTTTATCACTATTTCCTCACTGTTTTGACTTATATTTAAACTCAGTCCTGTTGATATCTTCTGATTTACAAAACTCAGCCGCTCTTACTCAGTTTTTTAAAATAAACTCAAATGATATTTCTAAATGATATTTTGGGCTGAGAGCTACTGTTTTACAAATGCCCGAGAGGCTTATGATGATTTCCAGACTGAGTGAGGCCAAGGGCCATATGTGAGGATATGTTGAGTGATTTGAGGCCGAGGGCCTGAGATACTATTTATGCCACGCGGTGGCTTGAGTGATGTCAGGCCGAGGGCCTGAGATACTGTATATGCCACGTGGTGGCTTGAGTGATGTGAGGATATGCTGAGTGATGATGCCACGAGGTGGCTTGATATAGCACTTGGGCCGTAAGGGGCCCCTCCGAAGCCTGCACACCCATAGTAAGCGCGGGTACCCATTGTTCTGAGTGATTGATACTATGCCCGAGGGGCTGATATGAGTGATTGTGAGGTAGCCCGAGGGGCTGGTACTATTCTGATATTGAGCCCGAGGGGCTGTTACTGATCTGATATTGAGCCCGAGGGGCTGTTACTGTTCTGATATTGAGCCCGAGGGGCTGGCACTATTCTGATATTGAGCCTGAGAGGCTGGTTCTGTTAATATTATGCCCGAGGTGCGGTTTGTTGTACATGTTTTGCCCGAGGGGCTGTTTACATTTCCATCATTTTGTTACTCACTTGTAAACTACTTGCTTTACTTGTTGGAAAAAAATAAGGGATTTTCACTTGATTTCTCACTACTTTACTGTTTAAAGTGATTTTACTGCTTTAGTATGGAATGCCTTGTGTTTCTGCATGATTTATTGCCTTTAGTCTTTATTTATTATTATTTCTCACTGAGTCGGAGTACTCACATTACTCCCTGCACCATGTGTGCAGATTCAGGTATGTTTTGGTTGATCGGAGGCAGAGTCATTAGGGTTTAGCAAGGTAGCTGTCGGTGTTCGCAGGACTGCTTTTCTCTCTCCTCATTTCATTAGTCTGTATTTGTACACTCTAGGCTTTCAGTTGTATTTATACCCTAGTAGATGCTCGTGACTTGTGACACCCCGGTTAGGGCTGTGTCGGGCTAGATTTCCGCATTTCTTATTCATACTTTCTGCTATTTGGTACTATTAAACCATATTTATGCTATATTTGTGTTAAATTACTGTTTTAAAGGACGAGTTGGGTTAGATTGGCTGGCCTTGTCTTCACGAGAGACGCCATTACGACCTGGGTCGGGATTTGGGTCGTGACAAGTTGGTATCAGAGTCTAGGTTACATAGGTCTCACGAGTCATGAACAGGTTTAGTTGAGTCTTGCGGATCGGTACGGAGACGTTTGTATTTATCCACCAGAGGCTATAGAACCTTTATGAAAACTTCACATTCTTGAATTCTTATCGTGCGTCCTTTTATTCAGCTTGAAATGTAACTATTTGAATTCCTTCCACGCGTTCGTATGCGCGCATGAGTGCTCAGTATCAGACGTACCTTGATGGTTTGTGATTTCCCGATCGAGGGGAGAGGTGTGATCTCTGTAAGTTGATGTTGGGCCAGTCTGAAGGACTTGAGGCCGGATCTTTGCCTATGGCTTGAGCATTGAGGTGCTGATTGTGTGAGCAAGTGTTTTGAACTTATATGTTCGGTATTGTCCCTATTAGTGGAAGTGATAGTTGATTAACTATGTGATAAGTATGTTAGTACTGCGAGATGTATTCATATGATTTGGAAACGACAAGAAGGGTCTGCTGGAGGATAGAAGAACTATTAGGTGCTTGAGTTCCATCTTGATTTGAGGTATAGCCCCGAGTTATAGGCATGTGAAGAATCTTTTCATGTTTCCCAGTTGTGAGTGAAGTAAAAAAAAAATTCATGTTGCGGTATGAGTTCAGACTCAGGAAGACTAAGTGACTGCGTACAGTTTATGATGGTTAAAGGTATACATAAATGTTAGTTAAGGCGAAACAGGTGGGTTATCTCCTGCAAAGTGTTCTAGAGTTGTGTGATCTTTATGTTGTCTGTTAGAAGATCCCATTTACAAGTGAAATATATATGTGAATTTAATTTGGGTCGCTTAAGAGAGTGGGTTTAATTGTTATGAGAGTAAATACGAGATTTGTAGGAGATATGAAGTACCAGATGGTCTTTGTTCCACGAGCTTATAAAGGATTGAGTTAATCTCACTATGGTATTATGGCAGCAATAAAGCGTATGTGTTATGAGTTATGGTGCGTGTTTGACCTATGGCTTTGAGCCAAGTGGGGGAGTCCGCTATTGAATAGTTGATTGCACGGTTATATGCTCTAATGGTCCCAGTTCGAGGCGCATTTGTGAATCAGTTATGGCTCGAGTAAAGGAAATTTCAATAAAGGCTATGTTATGCTTTATGGGTGTACGAGAATCGGGGAATGACTTGAGTTGTGGTTGGTAAGGAA